GGCGCCGCCGCGGCGCGGCCCGAGGTGAGCGCGGCGCGCGGGGAGGGAGCGCGCGGGAGGCGCCGATCCAAGATGGAGGCGCGAGGGGCGGGGGCAGCGGGGCCGGGGCCGCTCGCTCGCTCGCTCGGTCTCCGCGGCGGCCGGGCCGGGAGCGGGCGCTGCCCGTGCGAGGAGAGAGGAGAAGGGGAGGGGAGGGAAGAGGAGGCGGCGCGGGGCGGGGCGGCTCCTGCCGGAGCAACGGGTCCCCCGGGCGCGGCGCTCTTCGCCGCCATCTCATTGTCCCCGCCGGGGCTTTGCCGGGGGCGCGGGGCCGAGCCGGGCCGGCCTCCCCCGCCGCCGGGCCTGCGTCCCGCTCCGGGTGGTGGCGGCCGCGGCGGGCCTGTGGGGGCGACGGGGGATGCTCGGGCGGAGCGGGGGTGGCGCTTCCGCCGCGCGGGGCTCGGTGGCGGCGGCCCCCGGCCGGCCCCGGGCGGCGGCGGAGGAGGGAAAGTTCCGGGAGCCGGTGGGCGGCCCGACCCGCCTTTGGCCCGGCCCGGCCCGGCCCGCCGCCGGGACCCAGCCCACGGGAGCGCCCGCGCCGCCCGAGCGCCTGGCCCGAATCCAGCGGGGCCAGGCCGGGGTGCAGCCCCGGGGCCGGGGACCCCCGCCCGCCGCTCCTGTTGCTCATCCCCGAGTTTCCAGTGCGGTGGCACCGGGGCGAGCGGCCGCCCCTTGGCTGGCCGGGGGGACAGAGCCGTGTCACGCAGTGGTGGGGCTGCCCCGTGTTTTAAATGGGAAAAGCGGCGCGCCGAGCCCCGGGGATGGCGGGACCGGAGCCGGGATCCAGCGATCCACGGCTCCGGGAGCAGCCAAGTGCAGGCAATGCCCTGTGGCCGGTGCTGGGAGCGGGGGAGAGGCACAAACCCGGGTTGGGGTCCTGCACTGCTGGGCTCAAATATAGCAAAGGTTGTGCTTGGAGTAGTGGAAGGCTTCGGTGGTGGGTGCTGGTCACTTGGTACCTGGCCCATCCTGGGAAGTGATGGACAGCTGCACTCTGCTTTCCCTGTGCTCTGGGATGGAACAGGGAGTGTGAGCGGTGGTTGGGAGGAAGCGTGACTTGGGAGAAAGAAAATAGTTGTAGTATCCATGGAGAAACTTAAAGGGACATGACTGCCAATACCAGTGTCAAAAAACTTAGTTTCTGGGAAGACACTGTGAGTTTAATTAAACTGAGTTGAGCTGCTTTGTAAGTATTGATTATTTCAGTTGCATTTCATGCAATGTTGTAGCTGTGTAGAGTTAGTGTAGCGGTAGCGTCTATTGTCGAGGTTGCTGAAGAATGAAAAACCTTCTCCAGATCACACCACCAATGCAATTGTTATTAAACCGTGTCCTGTGTTTGGTGGGATAGATGACATTAATGTCTGAGTTCAGTAACTTTTCCATGTTACTACACTAATGAAAAAGAAGAGGTGTGAGAGAAGGATCAATGCAAATTCTTTGGATCCAAAGCAGTTTGGTCTTGCCTAGTGCTATAGCAGGGTTATTTGATGAGTGTTTGTACAGTGTAACCCATCCACCCCTGAAGAAATCACTGGGCCACAAGGCAGTGTGCAGGTTATCTGTCAAAAGGTGCTCTGGCCATGTGAAGAAGTTCTTCCTGTTACAGAATTAGAAGCCAGTGCATTCTTTCTTTGGTTTTTTTTTTTTTTTTTTCTTTCTGACTCAACTGTGATGACTTTTTGTTGGAAAGCCTGAGAAAACACACGTAGGGGTGCAGAGGTTTTGAAATGACACGCTAACCCGTGATGCAGCAGGATTTCCTTGTGAGCAGGAGGGCTGACTTCAGTGGAGCTGATTAATCTGAGAGGATGTAATTTTTACTGGCTGCTCAATAGAGAGTGTGCTGTTGAATTTCCATGTTGCTGCTGCTGGTGGACACGTGGATTTATATCAGTGAGAGTGGGTAGTGGGAATGAAGCTTTTCTGGAGCTGGGTGAACAATTAATGCCAGTTCTGGAGGTTCAGAGCACTTCATCCATCTAGAGCCCCTGTGTCCAGAGGACTGCAGTCCACAGCCTCTGGTGTTTCCTAACATTTTACAAAGTGCTGGAGTTGACTGGTTCACTGAGGGACAGCATTTCTGGCCAAATGTCCCCACCCAGCATGCTGTGGTCCCAAGTTGTGAGGGCAGCTGAAACCCTGCTGCTGGAGCCGTGTCCCTGGAGTCTCTGAGCTTGTCACCTCCTGCCCCTGGCCACAGCCTGCCCTTCATGCTGTGCAGACTTGTTCGTGACTTCTTCTGCAACTGCGCTGCACCTTTTGAGAGTTGAGAAGGTTTGTGAACAATATTATAGCTCATATTTGGATGCAATGACAAAATTTGTTCCTTGGGGTAGTCAGAAACTCAACAAGTGCATATTTTTCATTTGAAAGAACAAAATGTACCTTGAGTTTGTGCTGGTGACTGTGGAATCTCTCGTTTCTTTCCCTTGTTTGTAAAGACATGCCCTGGTGCAAGTTGGCTAAATACTGGTAATTTAAATAACATTTTAGTGGGCAAGCGAGCCCATAGAAGTGTAAGGATACAGTGAGAGAAATGCTGAATTGTGATGACTTTCTAAGAAGAGTCCTTTTCGTGGGATGAGAACATGCCTTTATGGTAATATTGTGGTTTGTTTTCTGGTAACGTGCACAAAAGCCTCTCACACCCTGCTGAGAATCCCAGAGTGCCAGATCTGTAATTACCACAAGACATACTGAAAGAGGCAAACTCTGCTGAAGTTGTGCAGGAATGTTAAAGCCAGAATTCAGCTGCAGCACTGCTCAGTGGGTGATCAGCCTCTCTGGGATCTCCCTGTGCTGCACCTTGGAGTTCTGGGATGCGGCTCTGGCTTCTGGTGCTTGGAGTCAGACCCAGGAGGTGATGCTGAATCTGGTGCCAAGATAAGGAAGTGCATTATCTCAATCTGCTGTATTGACTTCAGGACTTAAAATGCCAGGCCACGTCTGCAAGATACTTCCTACTTTCTTTAAAGTTTTGGGAGTTTTCTTGTAGTCACTCTCATTTATCAGTGGAGCTCTGAAACTCCAGTTGCAGATTATCTCTCACTTGCAATGCCATTGTGTCTGCTCATTTGGCTAAAACCAGAAAGGACTAGAATTGGTTCTTGTTCTTGGAGAAGAAAGGGAAATCCTACAAAGTTTTGAGTTCATGAGTAGATAATTGTTTTGTTGTTTCTACCCACGGCATTCAGGGATATGCAGTATTTTGCTTTTCCATGCTGATGTAGTTTTGGTTGGGGTGTTTAATATGTGATCAGAACACAGAAACCTATTTCTTCGTTCCCTTAAAAAATACATGGTTTAGAGAGTGTTAGTATGACCTCTTGCAACTTTTCAGTCTGAAAAACACTTTCAAAAATAAGTGTTGTTTTGTGAAGGTGCACTCTGTTGTTTTTTTTTTTTTTAAAGGCAGACCTCACCTTCAACTTGCTGTAAGAGCTGAAGGGGAGGAACTGCAGAGGGAATCTTGTCCTTAGCTGTGATTTTGTAGCAATGTGCTAATTTAATTTCTGATATGTCCTATTGGAAGTCTGACTGTAGGCAATGGTTGCAGCTCTTGTGTCACTGAGAGAATACCCAGGAACTCAGGTGCTTTCCCTGTGGTTTGAAGGATCCGTGCTCCTGGCTTTGCCAGCTTTGCCACATTTCCTCATTTGCATCCCTGCAGGCATTTTATAGTTTGGAAAATGCTTTTAAATAATACCAGTGTGCTTGAGTTAGCACACTGTTATTATTTAAAATAATCTCTCCTACAAGAGATCCATCACGGCCCAAAGTGTCACCTGTGTCCTGTTCTGAACTGTAGGTGTGACGTGAACTTGGTAAATTTGGTAACTCTGCCTTAATTTTGGAATATCTGGGGAGAGAATGCCTATTTATAAATGCAGGTAATTCCATATGAAGTACAAGTAGTGCAGATACAAGGTTTTTCATGCCTCCAGGCCCCTGACTTTGGTGGGTGCTGCTCTCTGTGCCAGAGCTGGGAGCACTGGCTGGCCAAAGCTACCAGCCCCTGGTCCCTGACCTGCTGCTCATCCTGCCCAGAGGGGATTTGGGTCTTAAAAGACACAGAAAGGCTGCACTTGGTGTGGTGGGACAGGCTCTCAGCCACAGCTGTCAGCATTATTAGACATGAGAGTGGGAGTGTGTTGTGAGCTCCAGTCACACAGTTATTAATCATTTATTTCAGAAT